CTCTCCTTTACGAACATTGGAACTTTTTAAATGGAGAACTGTTTTTCTCTTGAACAGTGATTGACTTTATCTTTTGAACTTAATCTCACTTCAGAAAGCAATTGATCTTCCAGTTGTCACTACTTTCAGCTCGAAAGACTGTCCCTATTTCTTCAGCATCCAGGATGAGCTGCTACTACTGCATATAGTTAAATCCACTGGATTACATCCATATCCAGATGGGTGGTCCTTTGCTTCTGGCTGAGAAAACCTAGACACTAAACTGAATCTTTAAAAACCAGGACAGATTAATTTGCTTGGGCTCCAGCTCTAAAATACTGTAAATTCAAAAGTCCTCCAGTCTCACCAGTAAGGAGTGCCTTAACAATGTCTTTCTATTGGAGGTTGTTCCTATTTGCAAGAAGGCAGAAGCAGCAACTCCAGGAAGTAAACTGGACTGAATGATCAGTCAAAGACTGCCTTGCATGAAACCGAAACCACTAGGTTTCTTTTTCTTCATATATATGAAAAAAAAGCATTGATCAAAAATGATCCATTACAGCTGCTAACAGTGCCTGCAGCTTGCTACCCTCTCCTTTTTTTCTTTTCCATCAACATTATTAAAAGAGAAAAAGTCTGCTCATAAGGGGATATCAAGACTATCTGCCAGAAGTTACTGAATGACTATGCAATCTCAATAACTAAAATTATTTTTTAAGTTACAAGTTACCTTATTAGAGTTGTTGCTAAGATTTGAAGTGTGATTTGCAATGCAACCCTCCAGCTTCCAGAGACTGGTGCATTTAGTAGCGCTGAAAAGATTTCAGAAATTACAGCAGGTGTCTGAAAAGAAAATTCATTTGCTTCTAGAGGAAAAACTCTTCTAGCTTCTAGAAACCGAACTCTTCTAGCTCTAAATATATCAAGGGCAACAGTTAATGATCTGTGATAACTGATAAGAGAAAAAAGGTTGCAAAAGATCTGTCCAACACATTTGCCTGATTCCAACTGTGGCCAGTAGCAGCTGGCTAGGGAAGGCATGAAGAACAAGCCAAGCACAGAATGATACTTCACCTTTGCAAAATATGCAGATTTTTTTCTCTGTGTGTGCATATGCATATATGACATATCTGCACAAGAGCTAAAATGACAGATTTGTAGAAGGCCATAAATATGGGGAGCATCCTGTACCTACAACAAAATATTAACAACACAGCAGCTGATCTTTTCAGCAAGCAGAGGAAATTCTTGTACCTTTTATGTGCCACATGAACCCATTACAGACACTTGCACAAAGCAGTAAAAGCAAAGTAGGATATTGTTTTTCTAACACACAGTTTTATTATGAAATATATACTACTCATTATTTCCAAAGTCTGGGAGAAATCAAGCCTGTCAATGAAATTAAGCAGCAACAAACCTGAAGCTGGGAAAAGGAAATACTGGATAGAGGGTATCATCAATCTCCAGAGCTCTCAATAGGAGGAGAATTTGGATTAAAAATCTGGGATATTTATATGAATAACAATAATATTTGTAGTTACGTTACTGCAAAATAAACCACGCAGGCACAAAGACGGACCCACCCATTAACTGTCTGGGGCTAAGAATGTTTCCCTTCTAGAAGTGCTAATGTATGATTTTTAATGATAAATACTTGATACCTTCCTCAAGTGAATTTGATACTAGCAGCTTTCAAGAGGCAGGATAATAGATTAGAAGAACCTTTGGTTTAATCAGCACCAGGCTTCTTTTCTTTCAAAGTTCCCCTTCCTGATCTACAAGGGTGGTCTTCTCCACTATGGAAACAATGCTGTGCCAAGTTATTACACAGTTACATATTTTTTTTCAAATGGCTTTAGAGAGCAGATGTTCCCATGCAAGCATTAGAACTCTTGCTCTGTGGATGTCTGCAGCACAAACAGAACACTGAATCTCATCCAGCTATCACTCCATAGCAAAACTCCCACCGAGCTGACCAAGATGAGGGTTTGGCCCACTGGCTGTGAGTGTGTTCAGCTCCTGACCCATCATGCAGCCAGCAAGGAGTACACACCTATGTTAGCATTCATGATTCTATTATTTGGGCTGCCTGATGTGCAAAGTCACAGGTGTAATCCTTGGGTGGAATTATTTCTTTTCTTTCTGGAAGAAACCACCAGAAATCTGCTTCTCTTATAATGGAGAAATCTTTAAATACTGTGAGTTCAGCTGAACTTTTCATAACTCAGTGGCTTATCCAAAGTTTACCCAAAATCCCCACATTTTAGGAGTGGTGAAGAAGTCTCATCAGAACTTAATTTTAGGAGGGTTTTGGGATTTCAGGATTTCCTCGTTTTCTGGCTGGCCCAAAACTAGATACATACAAGATGTAACAAGTATTTTAAAGGTGAGGAAATTTATCACTGAATTTTAGTAGGTGGAAACCTGATGCCCAGGGAAGAGAAGAAAAAACAGCCTCTCCACAGGAATTTCAGACACCTTCTTTTTGGGAACCAGATGTGCAGACTCTGTAAAATTTTTAAATATGTATTTTTATCAGATTATTCAAATACCTCTGCGTATCTTCAAAAGCCTTAAAGAAGGTAGTTAGAAAAATGGACACAGGTCAGACGATCCCACTGCTTTAGGTGAACCTGCTCATCCACAGCAATTCTGCTTTTTTTGGTCCTTCCCTCCTGTTTTTCTGAGAGACCCTGTACTAGTGCTAAAGTGCTGCTATTATCTTGTCACACATTTCCAGTTATTTTATTTCCCCTATCTTTAGCTTTGTGGGGGGTGGTTTTGTGCCATGAAGAGATTGTTTCCCCATAGAATCATAAGTAAGTGTTCATGTTCAAAACTCTCCTGAAGATTCATACCAGAGTTTTACAAAACTCTTGAGAAAGTGGATAACAAGGTCTTGATCACTCTATTAGTGGAATAATGTCACTCACTGATGTCCTTGCAGGTATCTACAAGACTGAACATTTGTATTGTTTCAAAGGACTAATCAAAAAATGTACTGAAGATTACATTGCTTTCCTGTGAAATGTTTCAAGTACTCTCATGAGAATCAAAAGTCAAGGAAAACAAATAGCAGCGATATTTGCAATGCCAAGAAAAGTTAGAACTTGTGTTCACATCTCAAAACTGGCATTTTGACATGCTGGGCATTCTTATTTTTCCTAATCCAATTCAAATTCCCCTCCCTGCGAGTAGTTCATACTTCTAGGAAAGATGTCCCATGCTAAGAATTGTTTGAATCTTGTATTTTATTCTCTTTGGTTTGTGATGATTCACTGGTTCCTGAAATTTCCCAGCAGGAAGGCAATCCCCACTCACACCAACGAATCCCAATGACTCAGATGGGACTCAGAGAGGCAGCAGTTGCAAAATAAGATGTATTTGTTCAAACATGGGCCAAGACACAATACAGAGAAGCAAGACCAAAATTTCTCATTCACAATGCTATAAATAAAATTGGTGATTGTTTGCCAGATAAAGCCTTCATGGGAATGATGTCTTGTCGGAGATACAAGGAAACCTGCTGTTTACAACATTAGAACACAGTCAGTGATTTTTTAGCAAAGCAACAGATTTCCTGGTTTGCTTGAAATGAACTGGTTTACAGCAAGGCAAGAGGCTTAACTAAGGGCTTAAGCAGAATGGAATATTTTCTTTAAAGAAAAACTGTAACTATAAAAAAGGTAAAGAGATTTTGGATTATAAAACCTTTTTACAGTTTATTTCCTATTATTAATTTCTTAAAATATATATATCAAAATGAGGATCTGACTAAATGAATAAGGACGTCAATTGATAAATGTCTGTCCCTGTAAACAAATAAATAATTATTTACAATCTTTGGCAAAACAAAATGAAATTTCAGCACTCATTCTCTCACACACTCTTGTAAGGAAAAAAAAATGAAAAAGAAATTTTAAAAAACCCATCATAAATAATTTACATAGAATAGGAAAATTATGATACAGTCCAAATATTAACATCTTCATCCCTAAACTGATGTCTCTCTCTGACAGAACAAAAAACCCTACACAGCCATTACTCATTACATTTAATGAAGTCATCCTCCCTTCTGCTTGGAACTTTGGGGATGCCATTTGGAACACCAAAAGAAACTGAAATATTCAAAAAACCTCATGAAGAGGATTTGTGAAAAAAAAAATAAATCCAAAACAAAAGAAAAACCACCAACAAAACAAACTGAGATAAAATTAAAAAAAAAAAAAAGATAATATGAATACTATAAAATGTGCAATAAAGCCAGAAACTGTTGATTCCTTTCTAATGAATATAGCCACAACATCTATTTCAAGGGAGAAAAAATTGATTTGACATTTAGCTCACTGTGCCCCGGAAGAAGACAGAGGTACTGTACTCTTCCATCAGCTATCTCATCTATGAATAAAATTACACCAGCCTGTGTTCTTTTTGTGAACAAAGCTCATACATCTTAAACAAAACAAAAATGTTAAACATATCTATACTATTGTTTATCTGAGTAACTGTTGTATCTGTTTAGAATAAACACTGGTACCCCTTCAGCATTATCTAAGAAGTTCTATATACAGCAGACATATGTAACAATACAAAAATATTAAAATTAGGGTAACTGGATATATATTAAGGTTCCATTTGTAAATTCCTTATTATTATTCATTTAAGTTTAAAGTATACATGATTATAACCCACGGAGCTATACTTAAGTGGAGGCCATGCTTTGACAATATCTACATATTGTGATATGCTTTCAAAAATAGCTTTAAAATATCATTATTTGTGAATGTATTATTGATGGATTATATGCTTTAAAATCAATTATCAGAGAAGGTAGCTTGGTGTGATAATCACAATAAATACTAACAAAATATTTATAAATGGAACCTTAAATTCATGTGTTACCAAATTAAGTAACGGTGGCGTTGCCACCTTTTTAAAAACCCACATCAGAATTCAGGATGTCAAAGTGCTTTTTGCAGCAGAGGTGGAAAAGTGGTTCAGGTTCGTTTTGCTCCACATGGTCACGGTATATTCTTTATTACAAGGCAATGCAGAATATGATGAAAACAGGGCAACTGGAAATAATTTTTTGAAAGTCAGACAATAGCGATAGCTTCAGATGTTTAAATTAATCATTCTTCCCTTTCACATGAGAGTTTCTAGTCCAATTCTTTTTGGCCTAAATAAAGCCCCTACCAAAGAATCCGTTAGGTTGCAAATTTGACAGTTCTACCATTAATAAAGTGTGTTACTAAGAGCGTCCTTATCAACCAAACACCTTTTTGAATGAAGAAATGTTTATCATTGATTTTTAATAGCCAAAGTAATTTTCACTGTTGATGTGGCCCTCCATTACTTTGCCAAAATTAGACCCAGAAGCTCTGTGTTACAGAAGTCCAGTCTTGACCAGAGCAAGGAAGTGTCAACCATACACCCAAAAATTTAAGACACATTTTTCCTCACTTAAACATAATGACTGATAATCATCATTCCCCCTCTTTTTCTCCATATATATAAATACATTAAGTAATTACATTTTTATATGTAAACGTCATTCTTTAAAAAAAGACAAGTAAACAAACAAACAAGTTTTGCTAAGTTTTCACTCTACAAAAGTGTTCTAATGTATCAATCTGCTTTTGCTTCAGTGGTGGGTCCGACGTTCACGTTTAGGTTTCATTAGTCCTGGTGGTGAGAAGGCACTTGGGTGGAAGGGTGGCTGAAGCACTTCCAGCACCTGGGAGGATCCTGGAGAGTGGAGCATGAGGAGAGAGGGCAGGAGGTACACAAAAATAGAAACTCGGAGTACCAGGGTGTACTGAGGTGTCTGGGTTGCATAGCATCTACAGTACTTTGCTGGTAATGCAGCAACCATTGCTCAAGCATCTGAAAGAAGAGGGGGAAAAATATATTAATTGTGGTTGGGGTTTTTTTTGGTTAGGAAGTCAATCACACAAGAACTCCACCATGAGATACTAAAGAGAAGCAGCACAACGCTTTCTGTTCTTAATTTTCCTACAAATGGGAGGACATTTATATATAATAACCACATGTGCCTGCATACAGAAAGAGACAAGCATGTGTATGTGCAGCTATGTATCTAAATTTATATACAAAATCATATACAAGAAAACCTGGAAAAGCATTTTCTGTATTTCAAAACATTTCAGACAAGGCATTACAGACAGACATGCTTATTAAAGATATCTGCTCTCTTCCATGCCTCTTGAGAGAGGGGTGATCCAGAAGTATCTCTCTGCCTGCAGGACACACTGAAATAGCCTACAGAGGACAGTGGATATACAGAGAGAATTCTAAGCAAGTCTCTCAGAAATTTCTACCTCATTTTTTCCAGGTGTATAGTATTAAACATCTGGGGTTTATTATTCAAATTGAGATTACTCTTGGGGCAAGGGGCATTCATGGCATTTCACCAAAGGTTTATGCCATGCTATGATATTACAGATTGCTTTTCATTTAGAGGATACTTTTCATTTAGACATTTTGTGCTTGTTCCTCAAGTTATGAGAGGCTTAAGCATCTTCCAGACATTTTTTGTAACTAACCTCTGCATTCATATTTGAGGTCAGAGAAGTAGACCATCTCTTGAGAGAAGACAAAAAGACCTAATCGTCCACCGGCAAAAGTTGTATCATAGATCGGTCCAGAATCCACCATGACTTGTTTCCCTTCATAAACCAGAACTCTGTAAAGAAGAACATAAATTAAACAAGGAGGATAATACAGAGTCCAGTGTAAGAGCTGGTAACAGTCTAAAAACTGGAACAGAATTAATTTTAACAAGGCACCAGAAAACCCAACCTCACTGTAGGGATAACTTCTCATCTCCATCTCACACCCACCTGGCTGGCAGCCATAACACATTAATCAGAAGCAGTGGGGCTGCTCCTTAAGTGATTTTATGCACACCATCTGCAAAAGATTTCCCAGTTCTTTATTTAGAACAGTCATGTCTCCTGGAATGAACTATGTCATGTACTAGCATACGCTGATAAGCCCCTGTCCCAGTGAACTCAGGGGTTAGCACACGACCTTGTCACATCACTGAGCAAAGCTGTCTTTGCAGCTGTATGAACAGCTGATTTATTTATCTTTCGGTGCAAGGGCCAGCATCAGAAATTGGAAGAACCATCCCTTTAGAGTCAAACAAAGCATTAATTGGAGACATGCTGAATCTCAATTTCAGACATTTTAATAGCTTAATGAAAGCTGGAAGGATTTGGACACAAACAGCTAGACTAATAATAAGTTGGAAAATGAGGATTTGTTTTTTTTGTTTTTTGGTTGTTTTTTTTTGTTTGTTTGTTTTTTGTTTTGGAGGGTTTTTTTAATATTTCAGGCATCCAGCCTGGAGACAAAGGACCTTGAAAGACAGCACTTCATTTTCTTTATCAGAGGGACTGCATTTCCACAAACTTGGATCCTCTGCTTCTCCTGGGAGACCTTGAGATAGTCTAGATTTTTAGGCTCTCAGTCTCCTGGGCCAAATGAGAAATTACTCCATAATTTGTTAGTTAGACTAGTCTTTGGAGGCAGGGATTATTGTCCTGCTTCAATTGACAATACATTAGTTATACACAGCAAGATGGCTTCACAAGAGGACAAAAACACTTGAGCAGCTTCCTAGAACCCAGGGGTTAGGTAGGGGCAGATTTCTGTTTAGACAGAAATGCATGTCCAGCACTTGTAATAAAGTATTCTGTTTCCAGAAAAGTGCACAAAGACAAGTATGAAACTGCTCCCTGAGATCAGTATTTAATGGATGGTGAAAAGAAATGTAAAAAAAAAAGACAGATTTTCATGTTTATATAATCCTATTTAATATAATTCTCAAAATATCAAGAACCCAAAACATACGGGAAGAGTTTAATAGTTCTTGCAACTCACCAAAAACATTACATAGCTCTGATCAAGTTTATATGAAATTGATATTTCTGTACAAATAAAACTGTTTCATGACAGCATTACTAAAAAAAATAATTCATTCTCTATCAGAACACCCTAAAGTATGAAGGAATTTAATGCCCCAAACTACAGAATTTGCCATGCTAGATTAATCTAATGTGCTACCAGTGGTAACATCTTTTGTCTGACACAATGTAGAGATTCTGTAAAAGAAGTTACAGGTAACAGCAACATGAATGAATAAAAATCAGGTTTCCTTTTGACCTATATCAGTCAATGCTTTGCACTGAAATACACTGAAGCATAAATAAATTCCTCTCTTTCCAAGAAACAGGTAACTTAATCTATCCCAATTTGTCTACACTTTGTCTTTCACAGACAAATGAAAACTCCTTGCTTACAAGCACAAGCAAGACCTGTGGAGATGAGGCCTGACTCTACCCTATGAAAAATATTCTTTACAGTTCCAGTAGTTAGTAAAAGATAAAACTGACATGGGCAGTTAATGCTCAGTCTTTGGAACATGAGCTAAACAGCTGGGCTCTACAGAAAGTCATTTGCCACAGCTCCTTGTGTGCATTACGGACGTGCTCATGGCCACTTCTGCATTGTCTTGTATAAGCCACTACAGGAGACAGGATGCTGAAGTAGACAGGCCCTTGGCCTACTTCCCTGAGGCAATGCTCATGTTTATAATTATTTTCATTCACTGAAATTCCACAGGCTGGGGAGCAATCTCATGTTCTAATCTTGCTTTGAGTTTTGCTCAGGAATTTTTGGTCTCTTTACAGAAAAGCTATTGAGAAAGAGGTCTTTATTTTTTTCCTTTAATTTAAGGGTATTTAGTTGATGTAAATATTGAACCATCCAGACTAAATCAAATACATCTGAAAAGGAAAATAACTTATTCTGAAGATAACAAAATGTTCCCAAAATGTTGGACAAACTGTCACACAAGTAACAATTATCAGAAACAACAATGAAACTGATAACATAGCTTTTAAATCAACAGCAATAAAAGCATTGCTACTAGAAAATGTAGAGGTACTGAAATATTTCTTACTTTATTAATCCTGTTTTAGGCCTATGAATCAAATGCCACCTGTAAGCAGTATAATCTTTCCAGCCAATGTTCTTGGGATCATGCCACAAAGTACGCACCTACAGCAGGAATACAAATGCCTTATTAGAAACACACCGTGCCCCAGTAACTACATTCACCACAGTAACTGCCAAAGCTTACTTTCTGCAGAGTATGAAACTGAAAATAGTTTAACATTTGACTGTACCATCAAAAGACTTCCTTTATGGGATGAGAGTAGTGCAAATTTCTGTCTTAAACTGCTGATCAGTCATTAATCTGCAGTTTCATAGCTAGAGTCACTGAAAACCATTATGGCATGGAGCCTTGACTTCCCTTATGGAGCCACAGAATCAGCCAAATTGCAAGAGATCCACAAGGAGCATCACATCCAACTCCTTGCCATGCAAAGGACCACCCCCAAGAGTCACACCATGTGTCCAAGAGTATTGTCCAAATGCTTCTGGAACTCTTTGGGTCTGCACATACACAAAACCAGGCTGACAGAGTTGATGCTGCATGAGTGCCTCCAGTGACAGTGAGGAACTGCAGCTTGCACACATGTTACTGCCTGTGGCTGCTTCTTGAAAATTTCCACTCAGTAACAGTCTTGTCAATTCCTACCCACATGTGAAGCCCTACTAACCTAATTTCCAAAATGCATAAGTTTCTTCCACAAGTTGAACCCTATTTGGAACAGCAGCAGTTTTTCTCTCTTTTTTAAAATGTCTTTTCTCTTTTTCTGTCACTGGTTACTGTACTCTAAACTACGCATAATTCAAACAAGCTGGAACACCAAAGAAGCAAGTGCCAATACAGAAGTAACAAAGGACTTGTGCATAACTGAGACACCTCTCTCATTTTCCTTTTGATCACACCTCATCTTCCCTTCTATACATGTGATTTTCTTTGAAATACAACATATGTGTTACTATTGACACTACCAATAAGGAAATTGAAGAAAAACTGATAAACACACAGAAAAACTGAAGTGTGAAAGGAAATTATTTTTGACACATTTTCCTTATTTTCAAAATACTAGTCATGCACTGGTCGCCTGAAGTTCAAAATCTCTCACCTGTCCAGGGGTGTTTCCTGTGTGCCAGAGAGCATTTCGTAAGTGTTCACCAGTACCAGTTGTTGAATTCACTACTTTGAGTGACACACCAGAATAGCCATAAGCCCTGGTGGGTTTGTCCTCCCAGTAGGTCTGAGTGACCTGCTTCCACATCAGAACATAAAACCTACTGCTGGACTGGTAGCCAAACACAAAGCCAGCATAGTCATCATCACGGTCTGTGTTAACATAGAACGTCCCGCTGAAGTCAACAGAGCTGAACTCATCATAGCCTGGGAGAGGACAAAAAAGACAAACATTGACTTACAGTGCTGGGTCCAGTTACACACACCCAAGAGTCCCAGTTACATCCTGAATTTTGGCAGGAGACAAGTGGTATTTCTCAGTTTCCTCACCTGTAGAAGAGGAGGTAATTACACTTGCCTGCATGAAGAATTCTGGAAAGAAATAAGTTGCTTACAAGGGGCATTGAAGGCAGCAGGCACTATACTGATGTAATTTTTGTCAATTGTGTATTTTATGTATGTTGCAGTCAGTGATAAGATTAATAGACAAAAAATGCAGGCAGCATTGAGCTGTTTATATTTTAGGCATATACACTGCCTCCGTGGTTAGTCGAAAATCTGCAGCATCAAAAATGTATATTTAACATTTTTTTCCCTTTCCTTATCACAGAATCACTGGCTACTTTTTCACAGATGATGACTGACATCTGATACTCACCTACAGCTATTCCAGGATCAGAGTTAGCAGTCTGCACCAATTCCTTGCCTTGGTGGCGAATAACCCAGTTGGGATCAATCTGAGCTGTTCCCTTGGGGTCCAGAGGGACCATCTGGAACTTTCTGAAATCCGTTTCACTGATGGCATTGTTTTCAGGGCATACATCATAAATATCTGGAACATTGTCGTTGTCAAAGTCATCTTTGCAAATATCACCTCTGCCATCACCTGTGAGCAATGTGAATAAGCAAAGACAATTGTTAGCAATTCATCCAGCCCCAGTCGATATAGCACTTTGGAATCAGGGTGGGAAAAGTTGGAAGTTTGCTATGTCGATGTAATTCACTAATACTTGCATTACATTTTCAGTTTGATTTGTTCCAGATGTGGATACAACACCACATTTTAATATGTGTGCTGTGCAAATCAATTAAAAGAATAGCATTAAAATCTTAATCTTGCACACATTACTAAATCTTTATTTAAATTTATTTGTTGATCATATTAAACTTTTTTTCGGACTCTTATCATTGTCTTAAGATTCTTTCTGCAATCTAAGATACTTCAGACTGCATGTGTCACCACTCTGTCAAAAGAAAGGGGAGAGAGTGTTGCAGTAATATATGCATACATGCTTAGCCACTCTTTCACTTGTAGGTAAAACAATTTGACTTATAAAATACATAATGCTTCAGAAAAATGCATAAGTAAAGAAGGCAGCAATGCATTCAACAGGACTAGTCTCAGAGGAATGAAAAAATTAGGTTTTGTTGTATGAACTACAGGAAGTTTTAGAGAACAAAAAAGTACAGCTCATCTATAGTTGTGCTTCTGCTCAATACTTTTACTATACTCAATATTTTAGAAAAACTAAAAATTACTTCCTTTCTTAGTTTATCTATAATATTAATGGAAACCAGGAGATGTGACTTGCCTCAAATAGCAAGGAATGAAAGGAGGCATCTATAAAAAAGCTCATTGTCAATGACTATATTGTTCCATGGCATACAATAACACAAAGACCTGAAAATAACGTAGAAAAGCTTGGCTAGACAAGAACAGAAACAAATTGCCAAATGGCTCCAACTTTTACAACATAAATCACTGGATATTACTCTGGGTACTAATGAAAACCAGTACTGCCAACTAATTTGTTTCTATCCTCACATAGCAGAGCATCTGCCTTTTTTTTTTCTTCCCCCCAGTGTTTATGGCTGCCCTAAGAATATGGGAATTAAACACAGTGGGAAATAGCAGTGACCCAGCTCATCCAATACTGACCTACCACTAGATGTTTCACAGAAAAATGGAAACCTACATTACCATGACTAACCAACACAACATCACCCAAGTGTGGAGCTTTCAGACAGAAAGCACAATGAGTTTTAGGCAACAGCCAAAAAAGAAAAGAGTAATTAGAGAAAATGGAAACATCCAGTATCTCGGGCTCTCTGCAGCTCAGATACGTGGTAAAATGGTCCCATTTTCCACCCTGGATAGCTGCCATAGACAACTCCAAATCCAGCTGTATGTTCCTCCACCTGTTTGTCTTAGCATTCATTGGAGAAAAGGGAATTAATTTCCTATTTTGTTTTTTTTGCCAAATCAAAGAGATAATTCACAGAAGAATCTAATTATTCACTAGAAGTCCAGCTGATGTTCATTTGGTAGTGAGTTGCTGCTGACAACATTCATTCCCTGTCAAGCAAAGTTAGAAAGTGTTTGTTTATCCAATCAGATCCAACAGCTCTCTCCAGGGCCTCATCTTTATGTGCTAAAACTCACATCTTCAAGAGCATGAGAGCAATTTTTGGCTTTATTTACCCCTTTTCCAAGATTTCTGTTGGACCTGCTGCTAATGACAGTGATGAGCTGGCTAAACTGCTTAAATATATGCTTTTTCTGAATCAATAATCCATACATCAATTTCCTTTACAAGAACTGGGTAATGGATGACTTAAACTATCTCAGCTTGGGGTTACCCCTATTCTGGATTTATAAAATTAAGGACTATTCCAGGGACTGGCAAGTACAAAGATACTCTGGACACATATTATAGGACTGAAAGGTTATCTAAATTAGGAGCTGCTACTGATTACCAACCAGAAACTTCCTACTGACATCAGTTGTCTTACCAGGAAATCAGACAAGGTTCAGCATTTTATCTTTCTAAATGTACATAAAAACATTATGTGGGTAATAAATTCTGCTTTCATTTTCTACAGCACAGCCATGGAACAGCTCCAGCAAGTTGTATAACTTGGAACTGAAATTGCTTACCTGCATTTATTGCAAAGGTCATTATTGTAAACATATTTGGTGGTTTACAAAGGATCAAAAACATTTTTAAAATTAAAATTATGATTGTGGAACTATCTCTATTTCATTATTTAAATAATGCCAAGCACACAGAAGGACTGTTTGAGGTGGCCAACAACATTTGATCAAAAAAATGGAAGAAAGAATAATTATATATCCAGTTTTTAAACTGTAACATGTATAGCATCAAGACATATTTAAAGCAGTCTGTAAAGAAAATTTGAGAAAAGCTACTCAGGAGTCAAATTTTAAAAAATAATTTAAAATTAACAATACTTTTAGACTTAAAACATCCTGAAGAAACAGTTTGGTTTTTTTTTAAATAAAACAGCAGTAAGCCGTATTTTTTTCCATTTTAATTTTCAGATGATAACTTGTTTTGAGAGTGAAACAGCTCAATTTTCATTTTTCAAGACATTTGTAATTCAAGCTATTTGAAATCTTTTCTGACACTTTTAATATTTCCATAAAATGTGAAAATAAGAACATTAACAAAAACACAGATTCTTTTGGTTTTTAAAAAATGTTTTAAAGGTTTTCTCTTATAATTAAGTATGTGCATGTTTGAGCTCCTGTCAAAGATGTTTTCTAATGTTCTAACCTTCGACCAAACTGACCAGTTCAGTTCCATCAAATTCCACAGTGTCTCAAACGTCAAAAGCAGCTCAGTTTGATGTGAAGTCTCTTTTCATCAGATATTAATACTCCAAGATCAAAACCAGGTACTAAGAATCAAATGAAATTCATGTGACCTTGTTCTTACCATCTGAGTCCTCCTGCTCAGGGTTGTATCTGAGGCGGCAGTTGTCCCTGTCATCTGGGACACCATCATTGTCATCATCAGGATCACAGGCATCTCCTTTACCATCCTGGTCGTGGTCAGCCTGGTTAGCATTGGGGATGTAAGGGCAGTTGTCCTGGTTGTTCTGGTGGCCATCTTCATCTATGTCCTCATTATTGTCACACTGGTCACCAACAAGGTCATTATCTGCATCAGTCTACCCCAAAAAAGAATAGTACAGAGTAATTTTATTATTTTTACTCACTACAGAAGTACAGCCTAGTACTTAACTGTTCAATACTTCTCTTCAAGGGCTTCTGTAGTGACAAATACCACAATGACAACTATGCTCAAAGCACCATCAGAACTTCAAACTGCTATGGCTACGTATTCTTCAATCAGTGGGTAAGATCAGGTCCCCAGGATATTTGCAGGGCAGGGCCTTATTTGCAGATGGATTAAAGCAATCATCACTGTACTTCCCTTTCATCTGATACAAAGAGATCTCACAATATGAGATGTGAAAGTGAGCAATACAGATTCACCTCTTCAGCTGCTCAGTACAGGGATGGATAGCAATTCCTGTGCTTTTTCTCTGCCCTTGTTCTGATGTTACCTTTAAGGAAATTGTTTTCATCATTTACCTGGTCTGGATTATGCATCAATGGACAATTATCACACTGATCACCAACTCCATCACCATCTGTATCACTCTGATCTGTGTTGTAGACGTAAGGGCAATTATCTCGTTCATTAAAAATGTCTAGGGGAAAAAAACCCCAACAAAATATTGAATAAATCAAAATGATACAATATCCATCACAGACAGTCATAGACTGTAGGAGTCACCAGTAAAGAAGCAAGGCTCTTAAAGAGTTCATAAGCTTTCTGATACAACATAAGCTACAACATCATTGCTACAAATAGTTAAGACTAATATTAGAAATAAAAATTATGGTATTAATTTCAATTTTTTTTGTTATTATGAAGTTTTCTGTATGTATTTTCCTATGGAAGAATAAGGCCTAATTATGCCTTAAGAATTTAGTCCTTTTCACTGAATAACAAGTAAAGGGGTGGGATTTTTTTTTAATAATTTGTTTTGGATTTCATTCCCCTGCTCTAAGAAATGCCATAGAACTCCCAGCTATATCAGGTTCAAACTCCTGAACTTCTGTATAGAAGCAACTGTATCAATATTCAGCTGCCTCAGCATTAAATAACTTAATTTTACCAGAACATGTGCATCATTAATTCTATAGGATGCTAAATTTTCAAAAGAAACTATTACTACTCAGGAAACTTCATTATAAAACCAACAATCTACTTCAAAATTATACAATGAAAAGAAACAAACGCATGTTGGCATATCTGTCTGGGAAAGATACCAGGACTCTTCCCTGTACTACATGGTCCCTGTATATTTGCGTAATCTTTCAGCCAATAACAAATGATTGGATTTTTCCTCAAATGCAGAACTACCATGAGTACTAGTATGAACCTGATGATCAGGATGAGAGAACTCCAAATTGTTCAGAAGCTAAAGTCAGATAAGCATCCAAATGTTTACAACCTTATTGAGGAAAACCCAAATTAGTATTTCTGTATCCTCATACATTTCAAATGCCACATGATATGATTTCTGAACAATATTCAAGGTCTTTCCCCCCATCTTAATTCTGACCAAATTGGGGTTATACAGGAATGTACTGGTGAAGGAAATAAGCACTTTTAACAATATTTTAAGATATACAAAAAATGTGTATTTGGATTACTTTGAGTTCTGCATACTTTTATACATTTACAGAAAATCAGATTACTTTACTATGGATATTGTCTTAACTGTGTGAATGTTCTGATGTTCTTTTCTCTCCCTAAAAGGAAAAGTCAACAGAAGTGTCATATTAAACCTGATTACTTTGGAACACAAAAAAAAAAAAAATCTTTCCTTCATCTAAGATTACACTGATAAAGACTTGCTGTGATTTATTCTTTAGTAATATTAATTGTAGTCATTTAGGGACTGTATGGGCAACTATACTACACAGGGCAGATGAACCTCAGCCTTCTCTGTCTTCTATATTTTTGAGCTGGTAGACCCAATTTTATTCCATGTATAAAAGCAAGTAGCCCACCTCACTGGACATAAAGCAAACTGTTCTTGAGGAACAGCACCTAATTCTCAAAAGTGAAATCATACCATCTCCATCAATGTCCACAGCACATGAGTCACCCTCCCCATTGTTGTCTGTGTCAATCTGAGCAGGGTTGTGCACATAGGGGCAATTGTCACAGCGGTCACCAACTTCATCCTTGTCATAATCAAACTGGCGAGGGTTGAACAGAAGAGGGCAATTGTCCTAGTAAGAAAAAACAGATTTCACAATATAAATCACAACTCATGAGAGCATACTATGAAGTGGTAACTCCTGTTCATCTTTGACAGAATTTAAAAATCAAATACTGATCCCTTATTTTTTCAATGGACAAGCTGTACCTACACTGAAGGTCTTGGTGGTAACACGATGGCATCTGGACAGCCTGGCTCACTGTCTGTTTTGTACAAAGCATGTGAATTGTGTTCCATATCTCACAGGGAGAGCAACAGGCATTTTAAACTGAATATGTACTCAGACATTTAAATAAAGGTTTATCATTGGTACACGCACTTAAAAAAAATCAGAACATGTTGCAAAGTCAGGTCAACTTCAGCTACATCTTAGAACTTTTGAAAAACATAAAAGAAGCAACTAGAATTGTTACTCTGACTTTTTTAGAACAAACTAGTCAGTCAAGTTTTTATCACTTTTTTGTATTTTTCAATTTAAACAAATATTGACTTCTTGTTGGTTGTGTTGTATTGACCAAGATAATAAAATGTAATTTTTTTTTTAAAACGTTAAAATGAAATTCTCTCATTTACCAAAAATCTTTTTTCCTGAGTCCATAAGACCTGAGACTTAATGGAATTTTGAAAATTTCATATCACTTTAATTTCAAAAACTGCCAGCAGAATAATTCTTACATTTCACACATTCCCAAATTGCACATGGACTTCTGCACAGGCACAAAAAAGTACTCAGTGTGAAATGCAAAGAAGAAAGAAAGAAAAACAAAACAGTGGGAGTGAGGGCTACATCAGTGTCATGGAATCTGAAGGGAGGTCAAAAGGAAAAAAAAATCTTTAAACTGCTTTTTCCTCTGCTAAATAGATAAACCCCACATTTAATAGTAATTTTTTAGCACAATATTTTAAATTCCCCAGAAATACATTTAATATAATCAAGGGCAACATATAGAAGCAAATCAAAATCTTATGCTGTTCATAAAACAATTTCTAACTACAATTTAAAAAAATACACATACTAGATCATATTTTACCAAATGATTCTTTGGAGGGTCTTTAAAGTTTTTTAAATAGAGACCAAATGAACACAACTCTTACCCATCTTTAACCATCTGAAGCTCTAGAGCATCTAGGGTCCCTCTGAAGGGAACAAAGAGGAACAATAAAATTCTAATACCAATTCACTCATCCTAAACTTGTTCTGAAAAGACAGGGTGAAGCAAACTCTCAAAGTGCCTCTATCTTTTTGTTGAATGTACAAGGCAACAGTTTTAGATTAAGTGGCTATCTTTTAGGCTCTGCAGGTAAATTACTTTGTCTTCTGGGCAGATCTGAAGCAAAGTATGAACCAGGACAGGTATTTTCCTCCCGTCATTTTCCTTTGGTACTGTCTGTGTTTATACTTCTTTTAGAAACAAGCTACAGTGAATAAACAATAACATCATATATGTAATATTTATCAGATTTCAAACATAGAAGACTTGTCATTCTCCCATTACAATACAAAAAAATCCAATACCGCTTTCCACTGAACCGTTTCCATGTACAAAACTGAACTCAAAACTGGTACAGACAACATAGTTCCTGGGGTTTCCCAGGCTGCTTTGCTCTGCACAGTACTGCTCTCCTTTGACTGAACACAGCTTTGCTCTGCACTGCACATCACTCAGGGAGCAGAGTGCAGAATAACTCAGCTGCAGCTCTGAACAATAAAGTTCACATCTATTGTAATGGTTTTCCTTAAAATCAGATGTTTAGGTCAAAGGTACTGCAGACAGATACACATCTTACTTTGTCATCTTCAACACCATCATTGTCATCATCCTCATCACAGGCATCTCCTTTGCCATCTTTATCAAAGTCTTCTTGGCCAGAGTTAGGCAGAAGGGGGCAATTATCCTGGCCAAAAGAAATAATCAATGCATCATGTTTACATTATGTAAGAATAACTCGCCTGGACAGAAGAGTAGATATGGTTCACTAGAGACTATGAAACAAGAGCAATCAGCAAAGTACTTTTTAAAGTGCCTGGTTTTTTGTTGCCAAAGGTAGCATTCATTTTCTGCTTTCATATTGTAAAGTAAGAAAAATGCAGCTGAAAATCTTTCTGGGAAATCCCAGCTGCTATTAAAGTCACGTTTCTAGTAAATTTTAGAGGGAACTAGCAGAGAACAAACACACCACATGCACAGACATGCACTCTTACACCAACTTTTTATAGACAATTCATGAGATATGTTTGAAGATTACATAAAAAATGGCCAAGTTTTTTTGCCAGAAAAATAAAAAAACAAGCCAAGAGAAGGTCTTCAGAAACAGCTGTTCATATGGAAAGTTACTACACAGCAAGGGAAAGGACTACACAGCAATGAAGGGGAACACTCTAAGAAAGGATTTTGAAAAAAATGTCTTTATACTGTTCTGCAAAACACTACCTTTGCACTCCCATGGGTTTAAAAATAAAAGACTAACAGATCTTTGTTTTTTATCACAGCTTTGTAATGAACGATTATTTTAAATAAACAATTCTTAAGTTACACTGAAAAATAAGAAGTAAATTAGCTTGCCAAATTTTACTACACATTGTTTAAAATATAATAAAATAATCTAAAATGGATTGCAATTCTATCACTTGCTAGGAATTTTTACTGACATTCCAGATCTACCTCACCCAAAACTGAATCTGTCAAAAGAATGCAGAAATATCTTTTGCAACACATACCCTGAATATTATAGTAAGATGTTTTCAATCTCCGTAGTTCTAATAGTACAGACAATTTAAGAAAAAAACAACTGGAAATATTGTGATAAATATCGAATCTTCAAAATTTTTACCTAATACATGTGAAGAGTCTTAACTGTCCACCTCAACACTGGTTACCAATGATACAAAAAAATTATTGAAACAATGAAAGAAATTAGTCACAAGAGTAAGTTATTTTTCGATCATTATCAGCTTAAGGAAAGAAGTTTATAAAAATCAAATTCCTCCCCTAGGATATTTTATAAAGAATATGAAAGCCTGAACATTTGTGGTATTTTTAAGGGATTTTTTTTGGCGGGTGGAGAGATCCCCTTAAAGGAAGTACTTGTGTCTATTAGAGCAACACATATTACACAAAGCATGAAACAATCTTTGGAAACAATTTTTTTTTCCTGAATGGGTTCAGCATGCTGTGTTTAACCAAAACTAATGCTTTGTGTTACATCATGAGTGAACATGTGCAAATTCTGATCACAGGAACTGAGAGAAGTATATATGAACTGCAACAGCTGAGTTGGCTGAATCCACAATGAACAGACATCGATTTCAGTGAGGAAGAGCAACATTTGAGGCCCAAATTTCTATCCATATCTGAAGCTTTTTGGCTGATAGAGCCCAGATTCACACGAGTGACTTATTCTCTCAAACAGCCTGATTTCAAACTTTCCTAGTCTCTTGGTCTGTATTTGTTTTAATCACTATAGTAGTTTAGAGCTCAGTCATTTTTTAATTTCTTTCCTCATTTTTTTAAGCAGACGTTTTTGTGCTGAAACTTCAAGATTTATAGGTAGATCACTTTAACATGGAGAAGGAGAAGCAAAAAAATGTTTCAGGTCTGGGAAAAGAAATCCTTAAAAACCTCAGAAGAGAAAGCTTGCCCTTACAGCCATGACTGATTAGCAAAATACCTGAGCATCTGCCTAGAGAACATAAACAGGCAATCCAGTGTTGTCAGTGGTCCCATAGGTAGATGTTTAAAATTGGACACCTGCACATGCCTTGTACTCTGACAAAACTCCATCCTGGTTGCCTAACTTGCTGCTGCACACAGTGTATGCCCCTCTGCATTGTGCCTGTCAGCCAACCATCAGCAAGGCCACCACTCAGAACTAGGATCCAGGGAATTGCCTGTCAGGGTGTGCCTTTGCCCCTCAGCTTCTGGGCCATTGTTAAACTGGTGGAACAACTTTCAGCCTAGTTTCATCCAGCATCAGGATAAGACCTACAAGGAGGCTCACCATTTTTGAGCAATTCCCACTGGAGGTAACCTCAGGCCATGAAACGGAAAAGGACTTACTGTGTGCTTCAGATGAGCAGAGAAACAGGTCCCAGGGAACATAGCATGTGGACACTCTACTAAACCTTTATGCCACCATTTTTAGGCTCCCTGATGCTGATTTTTCTCATTGGAGGAGTAATGTTTCATTGCTCACTACAGCAGCACAGCAAGATTGGGCAGGTCCCATTTGCCAGGTGTAGAGCCAATGGTGGCAGGCAGATGATTCCCTTGGGAGGGTGAGGACTGGGATTTCACATCTCTGAAGGGTGAAAGAGGCTGAATCTCTCATCCTGTCCCCCTGAGCCTTTGCAATAAGGAGAACTCCTCTAATTAGTCACATTCATTCCTCTCTTAGGCTCCTATTAAAAATTATCTCAGGCTCTGAGTCCAGTTTTCACAGTGTGTGGTATGCTTAAATTTTTAAAATGAAGGGTAGTTCAAGACAGCATTTTGAACTCTAGCCCTTATATAGCTGCCCTGCAGGTAGGATTTCACACTCACCTGCGCCCTGAGATCCCTGTTTGGTTCTCACTAGTTATATGCTTCACATCCATGCTTTAGGCAATTCCTGCTCAATGAATCTCCATTCACAAGCATCCCAATTGTCCATGTATTCCAAGTAGGAAGAAATCCAAAGCAGAGGACTCTGGATTTAATTTTGAGAATCCTTTACTGTATCTTACCAGATTAAATGAAGACACATTTCACAGCATCTCATAAAAATGAGCATGCTGTAACAGTCAAAGCTTACTGAAAGCAATCACCAGTTTCATGAATTAAAAGGGTTCGTCACAACTATTTAGGAAAAAATGAATGTTTTGTTAACACATGGAATTTTTATCAACCTTTTTCACCTACCTTCACACAGTGGTATGTTGCATTAGCAGCACAGACCAAGTTATTATTAGGCCAGCCATCCAAATCTGAATCCTCACCACAGATGCGTCCATCACCAGCGTAGCCTGTCCTACATTCACATTTGTACATTGGATCACTGAAATGGCCCAGATAGATGCACTCTGCAGATTTATGACAGCTGTGTGTCTTGTCCTTGCACGGATTCTCAGGTTCACAGACCTATAAATGATGGAGCATATTCACTGAAACCTGATAATCATAGCCAGTGTGTGCCTCAACTTTGTCAAAATCAGACCAGTTATTTAGAGGTCTGAAGACAGAAACTTTATTTGATTGTGGTTAGTAAATCATACTGCTCTGTCAGTTCACAACTCCGACAAATATGTACAATAAAAATAATTAAAACAAACCACAGGAAAAATTGGACATTATTTAAAAAGAAATTAAAGTGGTTATCAATTTCAGAACTGTATCTGCCTTCTTCCAGATATCATTAAACCCCAGAAACTACCTGCAACAGAAAGGAGGTTGTACTCACCTCTTTTCTTTAGTGTTCTGCCTGACAGTCTAAAAGGACTATCTAATTTTCTTAAATCAAAGAGACCCTAAGGAATTCTTGTGTTCACTTCATGAAGGTTTTTGTTACCTCTTCTTTATCATTATATTTTTCATTGACAGTATTTGAGAATCTTACACATATGGTTCACATGTAGAATTCACAAGCTGAGCTAACCACAGATTGATTCAACAGCAACAAAGAGAACACAGATTATGACTTCCACTTTAACATTTTTGTCTTTTCTAGGAAACTGTAGTCTTCAACCTCACTTTTACTTCCTGCTGTCCTTCACCACTGATGAGCTTTGTCCCAATGGAATTTAGGGGGTGAGAACTTCAGACGTTTCTGATAACACTGACATCAACAGCGTCATATTTATGAAAAAAACAATCCTAATTCTTCAGTTTTCACTCTCCAGAACAGGTATGTTAATCTCAGAGAAAGGAGTGCAAAGCAGGGAAAATTCTCACTCCTGGAATTTTAGGCTCATTTGGTACAACATTGCGAATCCCTGAAGAAAGCCAAACCCTTAAAAAAGCCAATCCCAAATTCAGTGTTTTGTTACTCAAAACAAAAATACTCTGAAACAACAGTTATTTATTTCAGGCTATTTTTGTTTGGTACCCAAGTTTATCTTATGCCATCATTCAAAGATATTTCAGATAAGAATTTCTCAAAGCTATCAAATTCCCTTCAAAATCACTTACTTGCTTCTCTGTCTTGGCAACTTCGAGCCCTACTCCATAGGGCTGACTTCCTTTATAGCGTGGAGGACATGGCAAGCAATGGAAACCTGGATTTGTGTTCACACAGCGATGGACCTGGTTCACTTTAAAGCAAACATCTGACACAGCTATACACTGCAGGTAAAGAAAGAAAGAAAGGAGAAACCAATTAGTTGGTTGTGTAATTCCCAAATAATGTATTTTTCATGGTGATTTCCTGATGTTAATGGAAACAAAGTCTATACCTCATCAAGATCCTCACAGACGGTACCATTGCCAAGGTATCCTGCTGGGCATGCCCCACATGACCAAGACCCATCTGGGTAACTGTTGCATTCTGCTCCAGGAAAGCAAGGGTTTGACAAACACCCATCTGGGAAAGACACACAAAACTGAAAATTAAGTAAGGAGTATAAAAAGCATGTAAAACTTCATTTAAGAAACAGGTATCTTCTTATCATTAGCTTAAATCACACTGGATGCAACAGACTCTTATAAAACCCCTAAAGTTAGGGTTATTAAGTGCATTTAAGACTAATTACTATTGATTTAATATGAAAAAATTACAGATCTACATCCAGTTGAATACATTACAGCATATTCAAACCCTATCTAAGAAAGGCATACTTGTTCAAGAAAGTTGGTATCACGAATGTATATGAAATCCTACTAAACAGCACTCAAAATAGTTAAATGTCCTCTACTGTAACAAAGGTATTATTAGCAGATTCCTGTAGTGTCACTTCATAATTACCCATCAAAGAGATAACAGCAATAACAATTACTCAGACTGAATAGAGAACGAATACCAACCAATTGGGCAATCCTTCTTATTGCACATATCATGTTGCTTGGTATCTCCCACACATGGCTTTCCTCCATACTGTGGCTCTGGGCTGTTACAGAGGCGAGACCTCTCACGAATTCCTCCTCCACAGGTTACAGTGCAGGCAGACCAGGGAGACCAAGGACCCCACTGGCCATTCACTAAGATATGCACAAGAGCAGAGAATCACAGGCAATAAGGTGGGAACATCTGGTGCCAATGACAACAACCCTTCATCAGACCCCTGACTAGAGACAGTTGCTCACTATGTACATAAAAAGGTGATGGCAGATGTTTGTACTGAGATATTGAATATTTCAGGAAGAAACAAATGAAAAATACCCAACTGCTTCATAGTCATTTTTTGGCCAATAATTCAAAACAGCATGCCATGCCCACCAGATATGCAAAGAGAAAAAAAGAGGAAAAATTGTATGAAAGGAAAGCAAAAATGTATGGAATGAAAGGTTTCTAAAAAAGGTTTAAGAATGTAGATGAGTAAGAAAGAATAATAGCAATTAATCGTGTCAAATGTGTAAAAAATGTTGCACAAATATCAAAGAAATCTGACTATTGGGAGATTCTATGTCTATTCCTAACAAGTACAGAGACAGCTTCCTTTTAGAAAAGAAGTGTTTATTTTTGATATGCAGAAGATATATCTCTAAAATGGAAATTTCTCAGACTCTTAACATTTAAAGCCAAATTATAACTTGGAAGATTTACAGGACCTCTGACTGCACTGTTGTCTTAATTTTCAAAACACCCTTGTGTGCTATTTCACTTGTAAGATAAAATTGTATTTTCCATCGTAGAAATTCACTGCCATTTAGAAATGGCAGAAATTGTTTATTTTATTCAGAAATAAAGAGAAGGGATTCAACTGGAATATTATTGTGCCACCTTTGATTCAAGATCACAGACATACCTGGACATGGAACTTTCTCACACTTCTCTGTTTCACGTCCATTCCCCACACAGTTTTTCCCACCCATCTGGGGAATAGGAGAATTGCAGAGGCGGATGCGGGTGATATTTCCCACTCCACAGGTAACTGAACAGGAAGACCAGGGAGACCAGTGACTCCAGCCACCATCTTGACGTACTGCCAGAGAAAAGAGCAAAACTCAAGCAAGCAGCCCACCTGCAGCAGTAACACAAACTCACTTGTGAGGTTAGCCTTCTAATGAGCCTCTCACCACATTTGATGAATGTCCCATCTCTTTCCCACCATTTCACTTACAAAGTCCAACACACCAGCTCAAGTAGTCAAGAACAGCTTTCTTAGGAATTTCAGTAACCAATGTATGACTAACAACTATGTCAGACATTTTACTGAAAAATAAACTTTTCCAATGAAACAAACCCTTGTTCAAAATGCACATTTGGACATCTAGCAGTCTCAGCTGCTAGATATTGCCTTAGGTACTACATTAGCCTGGATATCACAGGTACTTGCAATAGCGTTAACTACACTTCTGGAATATCATCGTTGTAAGCACCTTAAATATAAAAGCAGTTTGATATTTTGCAGAAATCTTCCATTACTGTATTCCTAAACACAGCTAAGTTAATGGAATGAATGACAGACATAAACACAGCCTTGCATATCACGTTTACAAAGTGTTGTCTCCAAGCTGAGTCCAAGCAAAAGACTCCATAATGTTAAAGAAAGGATCACTCATCTTTTTTTTTTTTTTTTAACATAGCTGAGCCCAGAATGTACATACCTATTAAATTGTCAGGAAAGGGAGGAATATTTGAAAGGGCAAAATTGGCAAAGAATCTAATGACAGCTACGTTAATTGTGCATATAGGATTTCTCAAGTACATACAGTCCTGACTACACTTGGTTTAGCTTTGAGATACCCCAAAGAAGCTTTTAAAAAGGAAAAAAGGTATTACTTACTGCGATGGTCACATTTCTTAAAGCTGCACATCCTTGTTTGGATGTGTGGGCCTGTACAAGCACTCCTGGTGACATCACATGACCTTCCCCGCATCTGTGTCCCAGAGCCACACGTAACTGAGCACTTTGTCCAGTCTGACCACGGTGACCAGCCCTCCTCACTGTCATCAGCTGCAGAGCAAAAGGTAAGAAAAAGTGCTTAGCTTTGAAAGTTGCTCTCTTACCCTATTTAGAAGATATTCTCTTCTCTTTTTCTGAAGAATATGCACTTCAACATTTAGATCTACTTTTCTAATTTTGCGTTCCCAAGCTGCCACTGACATTATGGAATTATGGTGTAATATAATGAGAGGTTAGGCTCAGATAAGAATCCTGGATCTTCATGAACTTGTGTGCAGTGTGCTTGCACGAAGCATTGATCTTTGAAGGAAGAACATCTTATCTCTAGAATGGACTGAGCCAAAACCTGAATCCTTTGGCTTCAGAACACAGGTCAGTATGATGAGATGTGGCCCCACCTTTGAAAGCTGCATAATGGTGAACATGATCAAGAGCTCATTGTATGAATAATCCCTATGCTCTGAATTGGGAAATACGACTGGGAAGAAGCATGCTTTTAACATTTTATGTCCAAGGTAGCTAAACAGGTTATCATCTTAATTCTAAGCAACCAATATAATCAATGAAGACAGATCGAGTCCTTCAGAGGCTAACTTCAAGTACCCAAGTTACTTTGTAAGATCTTTGTATATATAAGAGTTCTATATTTGATCTTACCTGCCTTGACATCTTACTTCTTTTGAACTTTGAAAAACACTACTAGTGATTTTAAATAATGCCAAAGACTATTTATCTTTCTCCTCAGCTAAATACTCACAGTGAGAGCAGACTGGACAGCATTCACCTTCAACAAAAGCTGGATCAGCACAGGAGACTGCTGGGCAGGTGATTTGATTGCACACAATTTTGGAATCCTACAGGCAAAAAAACCAATTTACTGATTTATGCTCACAGAGAGGTAAATGAAGGTGGGCATCTGGGGAAGTTTCATGTGTGGAAATGTTTTGATTTGTTCTATCATGAACATGGGGACTACTTTTTATAAATGTCATTAACATGGATAGTTGAGCTTGAACTCCATTTCTGCAGAGAAGAATATTTCCAAAACCTTACCTGGCAAATGCACTTGGTGCAGCTATCCACAATCCAGCTTTCATTATCTGCAAAGACACGGCCATCCTGCCAGCAAACTGGTTGGTTCTTCAGCGTTTTGTTAGGCCCAATCAGTTCCCACATAATTTGGTTCTCTTCAGACTAGAAGATGAAGTTAATGAAAACAAATTGTATGTCGTTTCATAACCAAACTGTTTTAAATAGACAAAACTGAGACATAACTGGACTTAATTTTTCCATTAAAAATGTATTTTTATATATTTATGTACATAAAGAAGATTATCTTAAGTATTGCAGTCCTGCATAACAATTCTTCTAGCAATGGTGCAGAATCACACATTATTAGGGGAAATCTGTTCTTAGCCATTTTGCTTTCCTCTAGTACAGCTTATCTTTAGGTGAGAAGACTTTACTCCTGACACATACAGCATGCTAATAAAATTCCTTCAGAAATAATTAGCCAATTCAGAAAAAGAAGAGGGGCAGACTTCAGCAAAACATCACCATCATACTACAACTATGAAAATCCCGTACATTTACTTGCAGTTTAGGTATCTCATGGAGCCACTTACTGATGAATTCATAAATGGTGTAAACATGGTAATAAGGCTTTAACAGTGTGCAAGCAAGGTTGGGATTGCTAGCTTTCAGTTTCCAAACCCTAGAAGGATATCCCTCGTGTATGAGTGCATGTGTGTGTGCTCTTTTAAACTCAGTCTGTGAAAACCAAGCCTTGATTAGAGTGTTATTCTCAAGAACTACCAAACTAGTCTCAGCGAAAAGAGGGCATCTTTACATATATGTAGATATACTAACAAGTCTTCACTTGTTATACAGAAATCTCTATTAAATGGCCCAGCATAAAAGAAGGAAGGAAAGAGCCCTGCACAGCAGACCTCTGTCAGTGCTCCAGACTTGCAGGTACCTACCACTTTTTGGAGGTTATCAGCCAAGTTGTTGACCACGATGCGCAGGCCGGTGAGCTCTGTGAACATCGATCCCAGCTCTTCACAGGAGCGGTCACAGAACTCGGCCTTCTCCGCTTTCTCACCCACGTACTCGGTTGTGACAGCAGGGCTCAAGTGAAGGATTTCAGTGCTCTCGTTGATGGTGTTCACTTCAGCTGGTAGAAAGAGAATGAAAGAGAAGAGCATATACAAAGCTCTTCCACAGATTGCAGATTCCTGCTGAAATCACAGATTGGCACCCATGGGCAGGGTTTAAACACATCTATTTTGGCACAGCTTCATGCTTATTATACCCATGAATAAAAGAGGGGTTAGATGTCAGCTGGTTCCAATTATAGGCTTTCCCTTTTCAAAATTAAGAGCTAAGCTGTGTCTCACGTGGCCCTCACTTCAAAATTGTTGGCACTGCAACACATTCATTTATGAAGAAGGCTAACAAAAGGACACATTATCAAAAAAGCAAACCTATTTTATCCACTCAGACATAAGAGGTTTCAGGTTTTTTCATAACCTATCACATTTCCTCAAGGCAGAGAAAAAGGCAGGAGAGTTTCCTTGCAGAAAGTTGTTGTCCTTGTTCTGTCCATAAATTCCATGGTTGGATCAAATTTGGACCCTTATGCAATGTACACCAGATTTTGTGCTGCTCTATATTGCACTGCCCAGTGTTAAGCTTGGAGGAGCTGTTATAAAAATAGTTTCTTTCTGAAGAGAAATGGAGGTCAAGCTAAGATCAGACAGATTATTTGATTTGTCACTCCAAACACTCCTCCAAAAGCCAGATTGTAATTAAAACAGAACTTTGCATGCATTAGACAGGGAGAACTGGATATGTTCTAATATAATTTTAAAAGACATCCCTGTCTACAGTAAATTCCTGAAAAAGAACATAATAGAGAGCATTATTTTAATTAATAAAAATAGTACATAGATAACTAAATAAAACAGTCTGTTCTGTTAAGGGATTAAATCTCCATCAGGTAAATGTCTTGGATTCTGTGGATGCTTTCTCTAAGGATTCCATGATAAACTCAAAGTTGGCATCAGCTATACAGCAATCCATACTTCCCTATCTCTTAATAAAGACTTCTTTACCAGATTTAGTGATGTTGGAATAGCTCAAGATTACCAAACAGAAAAGATTCTTTTTAAATTGCTATATCTTTAGAAAGAAGAAATCAGCACAGGAACATGTGCCATAAAACATATGCATCAAAACCCCAATACCATTCAGTGTTGACAAATCATCAAAGGTGGCAAAGCTTCAGAAATGTTACAGGCTTGATTTGATGCTTTAGCACAAAATGTAAAGTGTTATATATAAATATAAAAGAAAATGAAAACAGGACCAAAGTATTCTTAATTCATTTGGAAGGCTAAAAATAAAAGATTAAAAAAACAACCCACAGTATGACATTAAGTGATTACTTCTCAACCAAACTTAAAATTATTGGCTTGATGTGCTTCTAAATTAGCTATAAAACATCTGCCACTAGCCAAGGTCTACAAAAAGCTGTTCACAGTTTTCCAAAGTTGAAGCAATTGTCCAGCTTCATTTTCAGGATGGGAGAAAACCACACAGCAAATCAGAACTCTCTGTGTCATAACAGTTTATTTCAGCTGCTTTTTGATTCCCTGGAAAGAATGCAATTTTCCTACCACACTGAAACATTAGATTTCTCAGATCCCCCCACAGCACTTCTCAGATCATTAATTTCATATTTTTCAAGCCAGTATGGAGTGTGCCTTGACCGGAACATTCTGAGGACATTAATAAAGTTGCAATCTCAGCAGGAAACATAAACCAAAACTATGTTAGAAGAACTAAATCCTCACTTCCTACTGGTACTTGGCAATGACTGAAAGAAGATGCCTGGGGATCACTGGGAAATCAGTTCTCTGCTGCTGGCTTCCTGCTAATTTCCTAAGGACCAGATGATTAAAATGAGAAACCATAAGAGCAAAATGTGCATCCTCTCACATATGCAAATATCATTCTGTTGATATAACTCAAGAAGGGATTTTATTGATGTACCTATGTGTGTTTTTGTCATCTTTCCTATCCAGTGCAGTGTATAAATCCTGCCTAAAGGTTTTGCAGCCACCACACTACAGACATTCTTTCCTAGCCTCAACCAAAGAGTATTCCCAAGCCACCATTTCACCATATTCATATTTCCATATTAGGCTTAAAGATACATTGGGAAAACACACTCCTGTCTCCTTTTGTGTCCTTAGGGCTGAGGGAACTTCATTGGTAACATCAGCCTTGCTGTCATGGGACATTAACACATAAATACATCATCTTAACACCTGTACTTCAGCTCAATTAGCGAGCCATCAAAATGGGAAAACATCTTGTGGTGAGTAATGTCATTCATGGCTTTTCAACTGTGGTAGCTGTCATTAGCAGCATCCCCCAAGCTTCAGTACTGGGCCCAGTGTTGTTTAAACCATCTATCAGTGACTTGGACGAAGGGGCAGATGTCTCCTCAGCAAGTTCTCTGAAGACACAAATCTGGAAGGAGTGACCAATACCCCAAAGGGCTGTGCAGACCTTCAGAAGAATCTCAATAGGCTGAAGAGATGGCCAAAGAAGAACCATTCTGCCCCTCTCCTCATCCTCACCCAGATCTGCAGTGCTGTGTCCAATTCTAGGCTCTTCAGTAAAACAAAGATAGGGAACTCCTAGATTGGGTCCAGCCACAGACTTCAAAATTAATTAAGGGACTGGAGCTTCCCTCTCATGAGGAAAGGCTGAGGGAGCTGGGCCTGTTCAGCCTCAAAAAGAGACAGCTGAGAGGGGACCTCATCAAGGTGTATAAATATCTAAAGAGGATGGAGCCAGGCTTTATGGTGGCACCAAGCAATAGGACAAGAGGCAGTGGGCAGAAACTGATGCACAGGAAGTTCCACCGAAATAAGAGGAAGAACTTCTTCACTGTGTGGGTGACCAAGCACTGGAATAGTTGCCCAGAGAGTAGAGTCTCCCTCACTGGAGGTATTCAAGATGTTCAAGAATCATCTGGACACAATCCTGTGCCACGTGCTCTTGGATGATCCTGCTTGAGCAGGGAGGTTACAGTGATGATGCCCTGTGGTCCTTTTCAACCTGACACAGTCCATGAGTATGTAATTAAGCTGGATGGGCAATGTTAGAATCTGATATGCACATGAAAAACCTCTCAAGTAATTTTGATGGCCTCACCGTGCTATTAGTTCCTTTTTGTTACTGCACAAGAAATTTCCATTTTGTAGTGCTCTCCTGGTGTTGCAAAGTAAAAGCAAAAATACTGTGAATTGAGTTATTTGCTAAATAATTTCCAGGAAGGATAAAACAAAAACCCCAAATCCGTATAATTTATAGAACTGAAAATGTGGCAATTGACATGTGATAAAAATACATTAAGAAAATATTATTTGTTAGTTATCAGCAACTGTACAAAAATTCCTCGTAAGGTGTGTACTAGCATGAAGAATTCAATTATTTCTTTAGGCTCCCATTGGTTTCCTTTTCATAGTATAGGTACAGTAACATCCCATTTCTTCTTGGTGATACTTCAAAACATTTAGTATTCCTTTGAAGAAGTCAAGATCTGCTATGGTTTAATTTCTGGGTTTTGCATAAACAAGGAAAAAATTGAGTTCAATCTGCTTAACTGTATGTCACATATTTTAGCAAAGTAACAGAAATAATGGCATTTCAGGTGGCAGGAGTTTCAAACAAAACCCTGAAGTCCTGCCTTGTGCACCTACAACATTCCTCTGACAGATTGAGCTGGCTCTGATTCTTGACTGAGCCTTTGTCAGCTAGAAGCACTGGGAAGTAAAACAGTCACCATCTCCTATGAGCTTGAGTACAAAACCTTAGCACATATTTGACAAACAATCCTAATTCTTTTATGTGGAATCCACTACACTCATACACAGAGAGTGCTCCCCTCCTGGCAGGGTAAGCATGAACTGGACTAACAATGACACATGTCAGCCCATAACACACATGCCTTCCATATCTCTTCCTTTGATTTCTTATTTTCCTGAGGTTGTTTTGATTAACAATATTTTGGGAGTCACACCCAAAGCCTCTTTCAGTCAAAGGTATTGCCAAGGAACTAAGTGTCTTTAAGAATGGCAGACTAGTTTGTGGGCCCATTGACAGTCAGCAGCAGAATTCAGAACCAACACCACCTGTCTTGCATGCAAAGAATTGCAGAAAACTCATGTAAGAAAATATATATTTTCCTACATATGCTTTTTCCCCTTCAATTTCTACTAATTTATTGCTTAACATTTTTTCCCCCCTTAAAAACAGAGTCTTAGAGTTATAAACCTAAGTACTGAACTAAAATAATAGGCTAGAGAGTAGAAATGACATCATATAAACATATAAGTTCCCATTATCACCAAAAAGCAACTCATTCTCCGTTTCATTTCAAAGGGATCTGTTGCATGGTTTTAGGACAATATTTCATGACTGACGTTTCTAATTTTCAGATTCAACTGAACAGTATTAACAAGACAACAAAAGCCTTACTTGACTGGCTTCTCTGGCATCCTTTCTTACGCAGAACATCCTCTATTGAAGTATCAAAGATTAACTGAATATTTTGCAAAAGACCCTGTAATAATAATTTTAAAAAGCAATTAAAAGCAGTAAGATCAATTTTTGAGTAACTAATAACTGATCAGTCTTAATTCCATGCTACTGACTGGATTCAGACATAAGCAAATACATTCAAAAAAAACCAAACTATCTATAAGGCATTAAACCTAACACACAGAAAAAAAAAGTGGTTATAGCTTTGTTATATACAATTTCAGTATTATAAACCACAAAACCAGGTATGTTCTGAAACATGTCATAATAAAAGATATTAATCTGCTACAAGCTCAAATCTCCATTTTCATAGTGAATTTTAGACTTGTCATAGGGTCAAATCCAGCTTTCTTGCACCATCACACTTCCATCCTTAGCCAGTCATTCCCATGCACCATAGCTCATTGCTTCCTCAGCTGTGCTGACACTACTCTGAGACAACACTCCAAAACCAGACTGGGATCTTTTCACTTGGGTAAAAAAAACCCACAAAAACCTCAAAGAAGAAAGAAAATTAATTAATTAATTAAAAATCATATTGTTTCAGTGAGCCATTTAATGGTACAGCTTCAGAACCAGTTGTATGAGCACTACTCTCAGGGAGGCAGGAATGGAGAGGCTGTGGGCAAGAACTTCTAAAGTTCCTGCCAAAATTGGTCATCCCATGGAGCCAAACTCCAGGAGGTCAGGCTCTGGCTGAAAACTAGATGGCACAACATGATGAAAAAGAAAGGGCTTTTTGAAATTTCTGGAGCCCTGAGTTCAAGTCTGACTTCACCTGTGACTGAAAAGAAGCCACCCTTAAAGCAGTTGGGCCAGATCACATCACTAGATTATATGAGGCAGAAGGTCATTTTCATTTGATAGGAAAAACAGACAGCTTATAATGGCTTCATCTCAAATGTCTTCCACAAAAAGAAAAATAATCTCATTTACAGGACTGATCAAAAATTTAATTCTATTTATTTTTTTCAAAATTTTCCTCTTTTTAAAATTTAAATTGAAAATAAACATTCAAAATGGCAAACCAGGATGTTCTGTTACAGGAGGGACCAACACCACGTGCTTTAGCTCCATTAAAAATTCTGGTTTTTCTTCTTCTTTCAAATAAAAAATAAAAATATTGACATGTTCTCATGATTTGGATATATTTCAATGGAAAAACAATTCAAGAAATTTTCAAAAAATTCTAAAAATCACTACAAAAACCCAACATCTCTAGAAGTCTTACATCTGGAGAGAAAAGGGATGGTTGCATAGGAAAGCCCAAAAATTTGGTTTTGCACACCTTTTCTGGATTTAGACTTTGCTTTGCCCTTGCTTTCGGGAACCCCAATATCACACAAAAGAAATCCGGCAACTAATAAAAGCACACTCTACTTGGGAACACCTGTGACCCCATCCAATCCAAGAGGCATTGGGATAACAGAACTGCACCTACTGCATTTTCCCAAACTACTTGCAGTTACCCTCTTACCACACGAGAGACCCCAGCCTCAGCAGGTCACCTACCCTGAAATGATTCTCCCGAGTGGACCCTTTCGCCACGTACAGCCTGCTGCTCTCTGCTTTCAGCTGCTCATAGAAAGGCTCCTCCAGGATGAAGCTGTCAATAAGGTCACAGCCGACATAGAGGTTGTAGTTCTCCCCTGTTATCTGCACGGTGAGGTTCTTCCACTGTGAGTCAGCAAGGTCCACGTCTTCCAGGGAAATCACGTTCTGGAAGCCATCCACCCAATAGATGAGGTCCAGGGTGTTGGCCCGGCCATTGGAAATGATCTCAAACTGCCTCTCACTGATGCCGGGACCCTCTAAAGCAAGGACAGTGCCTCTAGATTGCCTGTCCTGCCTCAGGGTGGCTGAAAGGATAAAGCCCTCATTCTGCCGTATTAGTTTTATGATCTTTTTTAGTTTCTCCGGTTTACATGGAGGTATATAGTCAAACCGAATGAAACGATATGCTGGCGTGGCGGGGTCTGGGCCCCGGAACACCTTTGCTCCGATTGTCTTTCGGTTTATGTTACTGACTTGAAGTAAATCAAAGGTAGTCTCCTCTTCCTTGTCACCATCTGAAAAAGTTAACAGTGTGTGACAATATGTCTACAAAAAGCCTTACAAGAAACAGCTCTGTACAGTACACTTAGTAACTGTGATTATATGACAGACATCAAGGACCAGCAGAGTAAACCCAGTACTTTCCTGCCTCCACAAATGGAACTGTTCCTACAAGCAGGCAAGTGAATCCTATTTTCTACGTGATATTTTCATTTTACCTGACAATTCTCTCCTTCTGTGCATGCAAATACTTTTGATTATATGCTTATACATATGGTTTCATATTTTATGGCATTATATAGTACATACTTGCACATATATATGTATGCTCTAAATGCCTACACACGGATGCATGTAGCAATTTATTCATTAAGTATTTTTAATATATATGAATGGATAAGGAATTTGAGGCAATTTCTATATTTTGATCATCAGACAGCAGAAAATCAAATTATGAGAATCCATGTGCCTACCCAATGACCCAAAAAAAAGAGATTTTCTTTTTAAAGACTGCAACCAAGAAAGATGTAAATGAGAGTCTGGCACTGTGCCAATTTGTATTCTACTAATATTTGGTCTGTAGGAGTCTATTTCTTTACCTCTATATTTTTTAAATGTTCATCTCTATGATTCTGTTTATGTTACTTTCACCATACATTTCCACCACACAGAAAAGTATAACATCAATTATTTCTGGGATTATATACATATTAACCAAAAATTTCTAAAGAAAGCAATTTTGAGATATAGTGAGAAATCTTCATTTAGCACTGGCAAGGTATATCTACCAAAAATACCCCAGGCACTTCTAAAACATCCTTTGTGATTACTTTGCTCAATGGTTCAAGTAAGCCAATACTTTACAACTTTTAACTTTGGGAGTTATTCTGTATCCAGTTAAGAAGTGTCTGAACTTACCCTGAGCATTTGAGGAAAGCCACAGGGTTATCGAGACAGCAAGCCACAACAACCCTCTCCTCTTCAGCATAACTCCTATGTATAAATCAAAAAGTAGCAAGTATTAGGGAAATTATATTTATCAACTATCAATAGTGCAATTTTCCTCATAAAATGCCATAAACAGCAACTATATATATAATCAGAATTTTTATTTTGACTGATTCTTGTAACACTTATCCTGGGTCTTTTCTTGATGGCAGAAGTATAATGTGACATCAGGTGAAGGGAAGAGGAATTTTAAAAGTTAAAGATCTTTTTATGGAAATGTCCATAAAACAATGTTACCTTAATAAAAAGGAAAGACACACAGAAAAGATACAATATTATTTTCTTAATGAAATTTCATTAGCTGGCATAGAGACCATATGACACTACAAGAGACACAGCTTATTGCTAGCACATCTTTACTTTGGAGCACAATATTCAGCCAAAAATCCTTGCAGGATAATGAGATCTAAACTAGATGATGATTCTGAGTAATAGGGGTACTTTTCAATACTTTTTTCAGTGCCATGATATAAACTCCTCTCTTTCCATAAATATATATATATACACACAATCCTCTGTACCCAACCGTAGCTGGATAAAGTGACTCTTACCGTGATGCCGGGTTTGCCCTGTAGCACTGTGCAGTTATAAACCACATAATTGCATCTCCATATGTGTCTCAGCTCACAATGAATGGAGCAGAAGCATTCTCCGGAATGTGCAAAAATCCAGTTCTCTGGGTACAGCCAAATAACTTCAGCACTGCCAACTCCACACACTATTGCAAGGACTCAGGGATGCCGCCAGCGCTCCCTGTCTACATTTTCTTTGTTCTACGAGGAACTCTTATTACCTGGCATCCCCAGGGTACCACCGCTACAGCCAACTACGGGCAGCCGCCGGGACGCCTCTCTCACCTCTCGAACCCGGCGGATCCCGGCGGGACAGACCCTGCCTGGGCGGCGGCGGGGCTGCTGTGGGCAGGTGCCCCACTGCCCGCCTGCCCCGCGGCTGCTCCCCTATCCCCGCACCCCGAGCCCCCGCGGGATCGGCAGCGGGGCGACCGCCCGGGGCGAGCTCCGAGCGGGCGGAGAGCATCCTCTGCCCCCCGAGCTTGCTTCGCGGCGGGCACGGCACCTCCCCGCCTGGCGCCTCACCTGGCATCGGGGAGCCGGCGGTGCGCTGGGGCTCTGCGGGGAGAGGCCGGTCCGGAGCGGAGCGCGATGCGATCGATGCGCTGCTGCCGACACCGTCGCAAGTCCCTCCACGGCACCGCGCCCCGCGCCGACGCCTTTATGGGCTGCGGGCCGGGCCCCGCTGTCAATCAGCGGCGCCGGGGCGCGCCCCCGGCTCGCTCCTCCGCGGCGGTGACATAAACCCCCGCCGCCCCCTCCCCACCTCGCCTACCTGCGGGGCCATCGCCGGCCCGGCCCGCCCCGGCGGGCGGTGCAGGGGCGGTGCGCGGGGCGGGCCGGGCGGCAGCGGCCTCCCCGTGGGGAGCGGAGCGGCGCGGAGGGGCGGGGACGGCAGCCCGGCCCAGCCCGGCCCGCCGTCCCGTCGGTGTGGCGGGGGCCGAGCGCGGCAGAGCCCCCGGGAGGCGGCGCCAGGCCCCGCGGCCGGGCCGGAGCGCGGCCGGAGCCGCCGTCGGGCCGAGCCCGGCCCGGTCCCTGCGGGCGAGAAGCGCGTCCTTGGCCCCTCCGGCCGGCCCGGCTCTCCCGGGGACACTTGTCGCTTGAGAGCTCTCTTTTCCTGCCGCCACCGCGGCAAAACCCGGCCTTCTGGAGGGCTCAGTTCTCTCATTTTTATCCTTTTTTAATTGTACAACAGCCCAGAGCCGAGACGTGCCCCGTCCCCTGGTCAGTCGGCAAAGTGCTCGCTGGATGCCAGCCAGCAGCTCCTCAAGTGAGCCCAGCACCTCGGTCCCGCTCTTCTGCGCCATCCCCTTTCATTCCCTGGAAGGCGTTGAGGGCTTACTGAAGTGTGCTCCTTGTGGAGGAAGCCTTGGCTCGGGGCTAGTGAAAGCGGCACGCAAGAATCCTCACTCTTAGGCTGATCCTAGTCACTTTAGGAGAACTGGGAACTATCTCCACAAGCAAGGACTGCCGTCACAACCATTGAATTTTAAAGGTCAGCATGCTGAGGAACAGCCAGCACAGCTTCCAGCATCACGTTCCAAAGGGAGCAGGAGGATGGATCCCTGTAGCAGGTCTACACATAGAACCTGCTGTGACATGCAGATACATTTCAGAAGTGAAAGGAGAAGATCATGATCTCAGCTGCTGAGTCCTGAGCTGGGGTTGCAGAATATCTGAGAATATCTGTGAAAGAATCCTGCAGCTGTTGTGAAGATGCATGGATTTGGCTCAGTTGCCCAGAGAATCCAAGAAATGTAGCCCTTTCAAATGCATAGGTGGACAAACTTCACAAATCTTAACACACACACCAAAAAAAAAAAAAAAAAAGAGAACCAACCAACCAAAAAAACAAATCCCCCCCCCCAAAAAAAACCAAAAATGAAAACAAAAAAAAAAACCAGCACAGAAACCCATTAACTTTGCCCATCACAATTTGAAATTCCAGTAGAAAAAGGTGTTGATATTTCAGAGCTCAGAAGACTTCAAAAGGCTCAATCTATCACTACAGCAGAAAATGCCAATGCAAGCACTGCTCCCTTTCCGTTTGCCATGGAAGCTCCTTCCAACTTGGCTGGCCTTGGCCTTGCAGGGTAGCAGGAGCCAAGGAGCCTTCCCCTTTCTCACAGGGTCCAGGGGACTGAGCCAACATAGGAGGGAGAGGGCTTTTTTGTCTTCCTAAGACATTTGGTTTTCAGTTTTGCAAAACCACAAGAATTTAAAAAAATAGCTAATGGTGTTCACAAAACCTCAAATTCTAGTGGGTTTACTCATTCCCCCTGCTATATTAAGACTTAGTCTTTATATCTATATATGTAGCTGTATGGTGTGTTTTCCACTAGATTCAACTGTGCTGGGATAACTCCCATCAGGAAGCTGCTCTGGGATTACAGCTGGAGAAGAGAATGCAGCAAAGTGTTTAAGAGACCAAGAAGGTATCTTTGAAATAGTTTCATGAATTAATTGCACATTTATATGGAGGGCCTTTTTACAATAGAAATTTTTAAGTCAATAAAATAACAATAAAGAGCCAAATTTTAACCAGCTGCCTCATAGCAAATCTTTCCTTTCCATCTCTGAGTGTTATAGGAATGAAGAATTGATAGCATATTGTTTTGAGCTGAGTGGTTTGTATATAGGATGATTACCTTTGAAAAGACAGTTTTGATTGTAGTTTTTCCACAACCATGGAAATGCTTACTTGTTCACTTTCCCCTGGCCACCTTGGAAGAGGTAAACATCTTCTTTCCAAGATTCCTGATGGAAAATCTCAAAGAAACAAATATGCACTCTGCTTTCCGCAGCGAGCCAATGTACACAGGCAAACATTAGAATAACATTCATGTGTCTCAATTTACCTGATTTTTCAGTGAACAATGGTAGTTAGAGAGATTGTGAAGTCAGATTTGCTAACATATAGGAACACAACTGAGGTAACAGTAGATATCATACAGATGGTTTTTCTGTTTTACCTTTCACTGCATTTTGCTTCAGACCAGCATATCAGACATGAGCACAGGTCCTTAATTTCTCATCTCTGTGTACCTCCCTTTGTTGGACACATATTGAGAAAGTAAGAAAATTACAATTTACAAATTACAAAATATTCCAGGCTGGAGCTTTTCAGCTCTGTTCCCAGCCGATAAGCTGGTCCAGCTCAAGGCTAGGGAGAATTTCTCCCAGGGTGATAATTTGGTCAAAATAGGAAGGAATTAATAACAAGATAGAACACCTGTTGTGGTGTGTGACCAAGCCCTGGGAATGGGGTGTCTTCTCTCTGAACCAACCTTTTCTCTACTCTTGGAATTGCGAGTCATGCTATAAAACCAAGTGTGTTTCTGAATAAACTTGTCTCTTTCTTCCTATCATGAAAGATGACCGTGTAGCTGTGCATCTTATTTCTGCCACACTTAAAGGGTTAAAACCCCATTCCACGGCTACACCCTTTGCCTTTTTCAGTTTACTGTTTTCCTTCTGTATCAGTGCTAGGGACCTTCCATTTTGGATCATGTAAACATTGTACAAGGTAACTCACATTACTGAAAATCACTGGGGAATGTCAGGATTCTCATATGGCATTATCTCAGAAAGAACTGATTTGATGGATTTCCTCCACCAAATATTCCATGGTTTTGCCTAGGACTTTTTCATTGACTTTCTGACTTAGGTTGACTTTGGGGAAGACTTGAACTCTCCTATGTTAGAAGAAATCCCAATAAAGTGGAATATGCTATACGTGCTTTTTTTTTTTTTTTCCTTTTACTGCTTTTCTGGTAAAATTGAAACTTTGTGCTTTTGGCATGATCCAAAAGACAAATTCTGTGACTTTTCCTGGGTGAAATTCTGATCTTTTTTTTCCTTTTCTGACAGAAGCATGCCCACTAGTTGAAATAGATCTAGTTGCATGAACATGATGATGTCCTTCAGGTTTTATCCTGCAGTCCTGGAATTCGCCTGTAAATATTCTTACAGAAAAGCTGTCAAAAAGCCATGAATAATTTTTCTTTGTTTTCTTCCTGTGGTGGAATTTGATTTTCATAATTCACTGTATTGGAGTTCCAAAACTGAATCAGGTAACTTCAGTCACTGAGTTTTTTGAATGAGCTTGTAGAGACAGGGAGAGAGACCTGAATACTTCCTATGACAACACGTTGTAAGTACTCCAGCTAAATGCAGGTTTTGAGTCCTGGAATAGAATACACAAGGGAGAGTAAACTCATCTATGATGAGGGAGAGAGGTACTTTTGTCAAAGCTTTATGTATGCTTTAGTTTAAGTTCTGGTGCCAGATAAAAATGGGTATCATAATCAGGTACTTAGTCTTCTGCTCTTTGTTTCAGAAGAAGTGTTTTGGGCTTGTTTTAAACCTTCCTTAAGTAATTTCCAGGTATAAAATATATCCAGGTACAAATGCTATTACATTCTGTCAGAACAAATGGCCATAGACTGCGTAAGCACCAGTTGGTATGCTTTTACAATATACTTGTCAAAGAGGGAAATACTGCTACCACCCGTTTGCAGACTTTGTCTTTACTCAAAAAACAGCTATGCACAAAAACTTGTGCAGTGGTTTCAGCAGGAAGACTGAGTTTAAAGCTAAGTCCATGTCTAAGTGTTTTGCTTCATTGCTTCCTACATGATTTAACTGGTGTCACACAATAAGTTATGGAAAGAGCCATACATAAGTGGAGCCCAAGACTCTTAACTCATGGCTGGAAACTTGGATCTGAAAACCCTTTTTATTCCCTGTTCTTGCAGTACAAGAACAAGTACAAGTCTATGACAAAACAAATATCCATCTATAAACAGTTAACTGTGTCCTTAACCATTTTACAGAATTTTTGTATTCTCTCCCCACGTGAGCTGCTGAATGTATTAAGACTGCCAAGTATTTTCAGCCTCCAAAAAGGAACATTCCCCTACCAAGTGCAGTACAAATGAGCACTGAAAATTCTCTGTAAATCCCATGTTGCTGCTCTGGGTTAAAAAAAACCCAAACCTTTTACCAGATTCAGAACAGATTTATTACCCAAAGACATGCTTTTATTCAACTTTGTTACATAGTTTCGCATTCTATCACAGAAGTATTGATGTTTTCACTTACAATAGGAAAAGGTCACCAAAGCACTGACTTTTAAATAGCTAGGACTATCCTTATTATCCAGGCCATAATATTATAATTTTCATTGTATTTCCAATACCGTGCTTTCTGTATGTCAAATGGGATTTGGTCTGTTGTATCTACATATGTTCAAAACCAACCTAGTCTCGAGGCTTTTAGATTATTTGGATTAAATCCATATTTAGAAGTAAAGCATACTGAAGCTGACAGTAGCTTTAGCTGAGAGCTAAGTGAATACAACTAAAATTACAACTTAAGTGGTCCAGCTGGATTTTAAAAGTTGTTTGGGAGAACAGATGCCATTCATTTCAGGAGGATGTAGCGGCAAACTACTTTTGAAGACTTGGGTCTTGTTTCTTTTCATTTAGTTAGGTGAAACAAAATGCCAAATGCTTACTGAGAGCTCAATAAGCTATGTTTGAATGATCTTTGTCTAAAAATATTTTTTTATTG